TGGTGGTGATGATGGTGGCGATGATGGTGGTGGCGATGATGGTGGTGGTGGCGATGATGGTGGCGATGATGATGGTGGCGATGATGGTGGCGATGATGATGGTGGCGATGGTGGTGGCGATGATGGTGGTGGCGATGATGGTGGTGGCGATGATGGTGGTGATGACGATGATGGTGGCGATGATGGTGGCGATGATGGTGGTGATGATGATGGTGGTGATGATGGTGGCGATGATGGCGGTGGCGATGATGGTGGTGATGACGATGATGGCGGCGATGATGGTGGTGGCGATGATGGTGGTGGTGGCGATGATGGTGGCAGTGAATGACGATGATGGTGGCGATGATGGTGGTGGCGATGATGGTGGTGATGATGATGGTGGTGATGATGGTGGCGATGATGGTGGTGGCGATGATGGTGGTGGTGGCGATGATGGTGGCAGTGAATGATGATGATGGTGACGATGGTGGTGGTGGCGATGATGATGGTGGTAGAAAGAGCATCCATGTAGGAGTCAGGGAAACCAGTTGCTGTAGTGTTGCCTCTCCCTCATGACATCTTTGCATGTGTCAGGGTGGAACCAGTGGGCAGATAGGGGTTTCCATCTGTTGGTTGGGAGGCATGGCATATCTACAACCTCTGTTGGGGCATGGCACCCCCTACAGAGAGGAAGGCCTGTCTTACTCTGCAGCTGGACCCTCATAAAGGACCCCAGAATGATGAGCTCAGATTTTAGGCAGGATTTAATCTACCAAGACCCACCAACCAACTGGCTGCCATAGAGTTGATCTCAACTCCTGGTGACCCCTGTGTCTCAGAGTAGAACTGTTCCCCACAGGGTGGTCAGCGGCTGATTCCTTGGAAGTGGACCCCCAGGCCTGCTGAGGCACCTGTGAGGGATTCGGACTGCCAGCCTTTCCGTGAGCGGCCGGGTGCATTAACCGTTGGCAGCACCCAGGGCCCCCAGAGTCACCGCTCCATCCTGCACTCCCGTATTTGTGTGTGGTCCCCACTCCTCAATCTGACACTGGAGCCTGTAGAGAAAACCAGGGAAGATGCTGCAGATGTGGCAGGCAGTTACCTGCACAGCTGCCGGCTGGAAGGGTTGCAGGGCCTACACACCCAGGGGTGCCTACGAAGAAAAGATGGCGATCTGACCCCAGCAGGTCACTGCAGACCCCGTGGGGTCCAGCTGTGCTCTGACACACCTCAGTCACTCTGAGTCCCGGCTGCCTCAACGGCAGCTGCCAACATCAACAACAGGTGTTGCTGATGACCCCTGCATGCCTGCCTCACCCTGTTCCCATGGACTTACCCATTTCACCTTGTTTTCTCTTCAGTTTCGGCAGGGTTTTTCAGGAAGATCTTTTCATTTTTTCCCTTCATTAAAGCCTTAGATTAGTGAGTGATACTGGTTCCTCTTTGTCCCTCTATGTAGCTAACCCCTGCTCTGGGTCAGCCTAGTGTCCGTGGCGCCCCTCGAAGGTGGGAACAGCTGAAGACGTGCTTAGGACAGATGGATTGCAGGGTGGTTGCCAGCATGTGGTCACAGGCTGTTAACACGCCGACCTCGTTTTACTGTGCAGGGCTTTATTGGGCCTCCCAGATGGGGTGGTTTGCAGGCTGTTTGACGGTTTGGGGCGACTCTGCCTCAGGCAGGTCTCTGCCCGCCGTTTTCCCCACGCTCTCTCCCTGTCTCCATGTCGCATTCTGGTCATCGTCACAGCCTCACACTCCATCCTCATGCTGCTGCACACTCCACAGACCACAGTCTCAAGGAAGCATGCCTTTATGTGACCGGGAACCCAAACCGGCAGCATTCGCAGTATCGCCGTGGTCTGGACCCGAACCTGCAGTGCCTGGGGGTCGGCCTGCAGGAGCTTAAGCCTGCCGTCCAGCCCGCCGACCCGCGGCCACCAGCCCCAGCGCCGTCTCAGCCTTGCACATGCTTCTCCCACAGGGCCAAGGTGAAGAAGGGCCTGAGTATCGTCGGGGTGCGAGCCAGCAACCCCTCAGTCTGGGACGTCCGGCAGAGTGCGGACCACGCGGGCAAGCACGCGCCGGCCGTCATCATGTGTCGGAGGAAGTCGGCCACCTCAGAGAGCAGGTGAGTCCTGGGCCACAGGTGGGGTCGGAGGGTGGTGACTGCTTCCCCTACGTCCGCATCCGCATCGGGGCATCTCTGTTAGCGCCTCCAGGCAGGATGGGGGACACCTCACTGGGGGCATGGGCTGACCTGCAGCCAGAACGTGGCTCGGGCCACCGCCAAGGGCGCTGTGCCTTGGCACGGGGCATGTTCCCCGTTTGCTGTGTGTATTTAAATACCATGTGCGCCATTGGATGTGTGGTGTTTCATGGTGAGGCAGCAAGCTCTGTGCGCAGCGGCAGGACTGCATCACTGTAGGGAGAAGACCTGAGTCAGCCAACACACACCAGATTAGAAGCAGCTAATTTGCCATGGAAGAAAGGGGGACTGGAAATTGGGAAGTCGGACTTACCGGTCTTCCCAAACCTCGGTGGCGGTAGAGAATTCCTGGTCAGGCCACGTGTCTTTCCCAGTTTCAGATTGCTTTTCTTCCTTGCGCTATTGGAGATTTGAACCACGACTAGGGAACGCACCCCTGGCACGTATTATATTTGGGGCATATGTTTATAAAACTTCAAGGGTCCGTGTTTGGAGAATGTTTTTCATCATGTGTCTCAGTGCAGAGGATGTGAATCTTAGCCTCTGGTCCCTGCACCGGGCCAGCTCTTTAACGAGGACGCTGGAAACCAGTTTGTAGTTGGTTTTGTTAGGACTCCATTCTGTGCCCTGGAGACTCGGCAGCCTGGGAGCCGGGGACACCTCTCTTTTGTGACCAGTGCTGGAAGGCTGGCCACAGCCCACAGAGCACCTGTAGGGACACAGGGGCAGCCGGGGTTTGTACGGCGACTCAGTGTGCTTCCAGATAGTCACACCTTCCCACGTGACTGGGGAAGGGAGCGTCACCTCAGCAACACCGTCCCTCTGTGCTGCATGGCTGACAAACGTAGCGTCTGCCCAGGAGACGCTGTGGGTAGTTTCTTTTGCATTGGCTGTGACCCCCGGTGACCTTACGTACAACAGAAGGAAACGTGGCCTGGTCCTGCACCATCTCCGTGAGCGTTGTGATGTTCGAGTCCATTGTGGCAGCCGCCGCGTCAGTCCTCCTCAGGGGGTGGCTCCCTCGTCTTCCCTGACCCTCTACTTCACCAAGCATGATGTCCTTCTTAGGCCATTTGATGACGTGTCCGAAGGAAGTGACATCTCACTCGTAAGGGAACTCTGGTTGTATGTCTTCTAACACTGGTGTGCTGCCCTTCTGGCCATCAGTGGTACACGCCTGCATATGGTCAGACCCACAGACAGACAAACTTCTTCTATTCCTTGCCACCAGAGGAGGATCGCAACCACGTGTTCCTTTCGGTGCACTTTCTTGCCTTCTGTTCTCATGGGCTGTTTGTAGTGAGGTAGGGTGGTACTGTTATCTGTGAAATACCAAGGGATTTTAGCCACCATCAAATGTTGATTAATCATTTCATCTTGTTCTTACTTTCTGGCTAGGCTGGGTTCATCCAGGGCATGGGAGGAAGGTAAGGACACTCCCCAAGGACAGGTGATCCCCACTGAGGTGGAAGCTGCTTTGTATGGGCCAGCTATTTCAGGGACTTCCAAAGAATTTTGACACGTCTCAGGACGGAGGAGAAAACTGAGATCTTGAGAAGACCTCCAGGTCTGCAGATGTTGGATGCTGACCGTGAAGCTGTCCTTCAGATGGGCCCCCTCCTCTCTTCAGGAACTGGGTGCTCTGAATGGGGGCCCAAGAGATGCCCTTCAAATCCCAGTGTTCTAATGGAGACTACTTGTTATCCCGCTGTGGGTTCTGGTGTTATCTTCCTCTGATGGGTCTAGGTGATGGGAACGGCCAGGCACACATACGTACACATGTGTGTATAGTACATATGTGTGTGTACAACACATGTATAGAGTATTTGTACATGTGTAATGTGTGTCTGTTATAGGTGTGTATTTATTTTTTTCTGGAGTCTGATTCTCACGCGGCGTGTGGAGGTGTGTATCTATCTACACACGTGTTGACATGAGGATGTGTTTTCTGGAGGATGGTTCTCACACTGTGTGGGGAGGTTTGTGTGTATCCACACACATGTTGACGTGGGGATATGTTTTCTGGAATCTGGTTTTCACACTGTGTGGGGAGGTTTGTGTGTATCCACACACATGTTGACGTGGGGATATGTTTTCTGGAATCTGGTTTTCACACTGTGTGGGGAGGTTTGTATATATCCACACATATCTTGGTGTGGGGATAGGTTTTCTGGAATCTGGCTCTCACGCTGCGTGGGTGTGTGTATATCCACACACGTGTTGATATGGGGATGTGTTTTCTGGGGTCTGGTTCTCACACTGCATGGGAAAGTTTGTATGTATCCACACACATGTTGACATGGGGATGTGTTTTCTGGAGTCTGGTTCTCACAGTGCGTGGGGAGGTGTGTATATATCCACACACATGTTGATGTGGGGATATGTTTTCTGGAGTCTGGTTCTCACACTGAGTGGGGAGGTGTGTATATATCCACACACGTGTTGATGTGGGGATGTATTTCTGGGGTCTGGTTCTCACACTGCGTAGGGAGGTGTATATATATCCACACAGGTGTTGATGTGGGGATGTATTTCCCGGGGTCTGGTTCTCACACTGCATGGAGTGCGTCTGCTTTGGGAAGGAGGCTCTGGAGGGGAGGCCCTTGTGGTTGGAAATCCAGTCCATCCGCTCTGCAGCTTTGCCCCCAGCCTGCCTGAAGCAGCACGTGGTGCACAGTGGCCTCCCAGGAGCACTGACTTTGCAGAGTCCTGGTAGACCCCAGCTCTGTCCCTGTGTGTTAGGATGCAGAAGTACATACAGTCACATGGACTGTTCTCCGGCACATGTTCAAATAAGCTAGGTGTGTACGTGTGTGTGGTTTTTCCATCTGGGAAAAACCCAGGGAAGGGTGGTTGTATTAGTCAAAACGTGCCCAGAAGACACCACCGGAGTGGTCACTGTGATTGCTTCTGGGGGCCTGTGGGAAGGCGTGAATATCAGCTGTGAGCCTTCTGGACCTTTCGGGTTTTCCCTCCCCTATTACATGCATAGATAGATGCTCTGGTGGCGTAGTGCCTATGTCACTTGACTACTAACCAGAGGCTGGCAGTTCAAACCCACCAGGCACTCCTTGGAAGGAAGGTTGGGCAATCTAATTCCGTAGTGATATTGCCTCAGAAACCCAAGGAAGGGTTGCTATGAGTCAGGTCCGACCTCAATGGCACATAACAACAACAACAACAACAACAAATTGCATGCATCCTCTACTGGTTTAATAACGTGTATGTAATTAAGAATTAGACACACATTGAACGTGATGTCTTCCTTGCTCACCTTGTATCATCATGGCGAACATTTTTGTTTTATTTCTAACTTTAGGGAATGTTATTGCTGTTAGTTGCTGAGAAGTTGATCTCAACTCATGGTGACCTCACGGCTGTGCTCTGCAGGGCTTGCAAGGCTGTGATCTTTCAGAAGAAAATCACCAGGCCTTTCTTCCAAGGAGCTTTTGGGTGGCTTTGAACGACCAACCTTCTGGCTGGTGGTCGAGCACATAATTGTTTATGCCACCCAGGGGCTCCTTGAGGGAATTAGGAGAGAGAAACCCTGCTTAATGGGACTAGTGGGTAGACTGGGGTGGGATCCACTTCTCTTTCTTGAGCACAGTTGGTACAAGTTGTGTGGAGGATGTTTTAATAATGTCACTGGTTTGATTCACATTCTGTTTGGCCTTATAAATTCCTCCTAGATGGGATTTTTTTTTTCAGTTGTTCTTAAAAGTCAGACTCTGGTCATATGAATACAAAAGAGGCCACCTTAATGAGCTCATAAGGTGGAGACGTGGGGTTGCTGGTATCTCACCACGGACCAGGAAGTTGTGTGAATGAAGCTGAGTCGCTGTGACAGGTGACATGTTAGGGATTAAGGAGACACTTCTGTGCTGGCGATGGACCCAACAGGTGATGTGCAGACTTTTCACGGAGGCCGTCTGGTTGCTGTAAACCTTCCGGTAACAGTATTAGCACGTGGACACCATCACAGCCAGCAGTTCTGTGTGATAGCTCATTGCCGACAAACACTGGGGCAGGACTGACTAGCTGCCTAAGCTCTGCCCGTCCAACTGTGTAGTGTGCATTCAGATTCCCGCTCACCAGAGCACTGTGCCACCTGAGCTAGATGGCGCACAGAGCCATAGTGGCATCACCTTGTTGTCTCTGCATGGGGGGGTTGTTTTCCACAGTTGACCACAGTTGGCGTTGACGTGAGTGGAGATGGTACAAGGAGATGCATTGGATGTCTGGGACTGTAAGGAGCTTACATGCTTTCCAGTCTCTAATCTCGGCTTCTCCCTGGGAACTAACATCTTCACAGACTGTTGGTTGCAAATACACTGTAGATACGCAAGACTAAATATCAAGAATTTAATAATGCCATGACTGTGACCTCCTTATATCATATGATACTGGTTTTGCATGTAGGGCAAGTCACATCTTTCATTAAAAATTTATTTAAGTGAGAACATGAGTCGCATTGGAAAAAACAAAAAGTTGCTTCCTAATCCTGGTGCCCCACGTGTGTCAGGACCTGCTCTACACAGCTGTCAATCACTCCTTTTCTGGAAATAGATCCCCTCTCTTCTGATGTGTCTGTGGGGAACTCACACCTCCAACCACTTGGTCAGCAGCTAAGTGTATTGCTCCTTTATATCATCCAAAAAACAAAAAAAAAATCTAACTTACTGCCATCAAGTCATTTCTACCTCATAGTGACTCCTCCTTGGGTTTCCAAGGAAGTATCTCTACAGAAGTAGATTGCCCAGTCTTCCTTCTGAGGAGTGACTGGTGGGTTTGAACCACCAGCTTTCTCATTAGCAGTCAAATGTCTTAGGCACTGTGCCACCAGAGCTGCCTTGTGTCATCCAGGGATTCCAAATATTAGAAAGGAAGGAAGGGAAGAAATTGATATTTAAAATGTAGACAGG